CCAGCAGGTAGCATGGTGGTTAAGGTGCTGGACTCCCACATGGCCGACTACAGTTTGAGTCCTGGGCCTGGCAGCTTACTTTCTAATTTTTCCTTCTCTCTCAATGTCTCTGTCTCTTGCTGGTGAGCACGTGAGCCTTGTAGCAAATTTAAAAAAATAATAATAATGATAAATAAAAATTAAATATTTTTTTTTAAAGCTGAAAAAATGATATTACATGTCTTACGTACAGAACTGAAAGCAACACTGGCCATGTGGAAGTACCACGGCTTTGGGGAAGAACAAGGCACTAGAATACTATGGTCTCTACAGGGGGATCACTGCAGAGTAGGCCTCTACTGGCAGCTATCTTGTCAACCACTGTTCCACTGCCACCCAGAACCTGCCTGGCACAGAGCAAGCCCCTCCACAAACACAGGTGAAATTAACACCTTCGATTTTAGCCATGTAGTGATAAACATATATGCACGCACAGACATGCACCCACGCACATACATAAGAAGCAACACAAAGACCTTCAAAAACTTAACACTTGGTGTTTTTCCCTCTAAGCAACATTAGCCCATCTGCTGTAAAAGAGCTTATCTTTCACACCCTCCCTTTATAGTCCTTTTAATCAGACTGAAATCTAACTGCGGCAACGCTTTTAATTGGAGCTTCTCTGTCTGAGATCTTAACCCCTGAATCTATCATGTACCACAGACACATTCTCTCCCATTGCTTTTCGGCTTTCTGGCTTTTATCAATTTAATATCTTGTGCACATTCATCTTTCTGTCACCCCGATCTCATCTCATCCTGCCCATGCACTGACCCAGGCTGCTTCCTGTGCCCCCACACCGTTCTCTGCAGCTCCGTGTTTGAGACTCATGACTGCGCCTTTGGGTCTCACCTCCACGACTCCCCGCAGAATTCCTCTGGACAGCCCTACCTCTTCAACCTCCCCAAACACACCTTATTCATTTCCATATTGAGTATTCCACATTCTTTTCTCTTTGCTCTAGTTTCTCGAACCTACATAACCCTGAGGGACCTTCAGAAATTGCTTTCCACTCCCTCAGCAGGCCCCAACAGGGCTTTAGGGAAACGGGATGCCAGTAGCACTGTGCTGGACGCTGCAGGACGGTTCTGTAACAAGAGGTCTTCGGAAGTATGCTAACACTGCCGACTGTCTCCTCTCCGGCCGAGAGTCATAAAGGAGAAGCTGTCGCGCCATCCAGTGCTGCCTGCTTTTATCTTTTTGGCCCTTGTGTTCTCTCTGGCTTGCTGACATTATTTCGTTATTATTTTAGACACAAGTAATGTATTTATTTCAGTTTGACAAAATCGCTTTTGCGAATGCCTTCTGAGCTGGGGTTAGCAGGTTCTGAAAGCTGGTGTAAATAAACGATTCTGTGTGAGGCTGGACCTGCCTGGCTGATTCTCACACGGGCTGGCTGGTGAAAGTCAGTTAGTGTTACACCTTGGCCAGAGCAGAGGTTTTCGTTTGCTATTGCAGTGAAATCGTGTTGCTTACGTTTTATCCTTCATGTGATAAAAACCAGCTTTTGTTTAAGTAAGTATGAGGGGATGTCCAGTTCAGGGGATTCTGCAAATGACAAAGCTTAAAACAATGTCTCCTTCCTCCCCAATTTTGTAAACACGCACACAGTGACATAATTGATGCAAATGACCTTTGGTGACCACAGCAGAAGCTTGTTCTCAGGTGGCAATAATGATGGGATCCACTTTCTCCTGCTGGACAGGGGTGTGGAGTGTCAACTATGATCCAGGCAGAAGGCCCACCCAAGCCACGTCCTAGGCAGGGTCAAAGGACAGCTGTGGAGATACGACAGAACTGATTGTCCTTGGGTGGTCAGTGGTGGTGGGTGGTGAGGAGCAAGTGCTACAGCACCCCCTAGAGGAATCCACGGATACTGGGGAAAGGAAAAGGGATCTGACCTGGTCAGTCTGCACCCCAGGATGCCAAGTCCATGGGAAAAAGAAAGAGGAACACAGGGCATGACGCACTGCACTTTAGGTAGTATATTTTTGGTCACAATAACATAATCACGCTCTTTGTTCCTATACACCAACTGATTATACTTACATAAAAAGTAGGTTGTAAAGAGCTTTTTAAAAAGAATTACTTATTTTATTATTATTATTTTAATTTGCTATGGGGCACATGTGCTTACCAGAGAGAGACACAGAGAGGGAAAGTGAGAGAGCAAGCCACCAGGTTCAGGATTTGAATCGCAGTAGGCCATGTGGGAATCCAGCGCCTTAAGCACCATGCCACCTGCTGACCCGGAAAGAGCTTTTTCAACTAGACAAGAATCTCAAAAGCTGTTGCATAAAAAATTAAAACAGAGTGAATATCTCTATGTGGAAATGGCTGAGAATTCAAGGTATATCCTTATCACAGAATATTATGCAGTCATTAAATAGAATAAAATAAATCTATAGAGTTGGCTCAAGAGATTTTTACTATGTATTGTTAAGTGAGGAGAGAACAGCATGAAATATCCCATGTTTGTAAACTTAAGTGTATACTAAAAAGAGCTTAAACATATCAGTGTGAACAATGTAAACCAACTGGTCTACCAGAAGGAGAAAGAGGGAGGGAAGAAGGTGATGGAAAATAATTAAAGTGATTATTCAAGATAATAGGTTTCATGATAAAAAGCAAGAATTATATCAAATTATATATATGGTTACCAAAATGTTGGAGGTGTGTTACTGTGTTATCTCAGGGTGAAAATATTTCAGGTTGAGGTCAGCAGGTAGTGTGGTGGTTAAGGTGCTGGACTCCCACATGGTTGATTGTGGTTTGAGTCCTGGACTCAACAGCTCGAAACTCACTCTGGGCACGATGCATGTGTACCCAAAATCCCAAAAGGAGAATGGAGGAGAAGGGACTGCAGCATGGCCATTCCCTGGTCGTGGCGGGGGTGGGGGGGTGATTTCTCACTTTCTGTCTCTGTCTCACTCTGTCTCTCTGATGAGCATATGTGCCCTTATACTTTTCTGCATTTTAAGAAGAAATATAATTGTTATATAGTCAGAAATAACTATTTTCACGGAGGCAAAAATTCAAATAATTCCATAATACCGGCAGCATGACAATAATAATTCTTTAGTCTTCCTAGCCCAAACACAGCATACTAGGAGAATTTTGCATCATTCATGACTAAAAGAGGTTTTCACAATCTTCTTCTAAATGGAAACAGACCACAAAGTCCAAAATTAATAATCATCATAAATATTTTAAGCATCTTGAAGGCAGGGTCTTAATCTAATTTTTAGCACACTTTCCCAATGGCTTAGAGCACTTAGGGTGCTCAATCAATCCTCATCTACTGACAAGCACATTTCAAATCTCATGAATTATTACATCAAAGATGCTATTATTTGATATACAAATGCTATTAAAGAGTAAAATCTCATCTAAAAGATAATATGCGAGCTGGAACAGCTCCAGTGAAAATAATTTAACTATGAAATTGAATCTGCCACAAAAGAATAAAACTCTTGATACGTGACTAAATTTTTCTTCCTGTTCTGGTCATAAATGTATCCTGTTTTGTTACCTGCATTCCTGTGGTCTCAGGGCTGCATGCTGCCTACACACCCGCCCAACAACTATCTACTCAATGTCACTAATTTCTGTTTGTTGTTGTAGATACTAGAGTCATGACATCAGCTAGCAGTCTTCACAATCTCCAGGCCAGGCCTGTCTTAGGACTCTACATTGCCCGCTAAGATGCTGACTATAAAATGCAGTTCTTTTGTAGAGGTGCCATGTTTTCATTCTTCTAGGCCTTCTTTCTCTGCAGAGCAGTAGAAACAGATGTCATGAGGTATATGGGGAGCTCATCTGTAAAAAGCCATGTAACGGCCTTTCCAGGGCAGGTAGGCACCAGGCAAACAGGGCAGGAATGGGGCAGTGGCTGCTGCCCTTGATCCTCATGGCCAGGCACTCCCACTTGACTCATAGGCCATTCTTTTCTTCTTTCCTTTCTTTCCTTTTCTTTTTTTTTGGGGGGGGGGGTGGAGTGGGAGAGATTTTTGCTATGGCGCATGTGCACTCGCCAGAGAGACAAAGAGACAGAAAGCAAGAAATCACTCTTGAGGGAGGATGGCCAGGCCACAATCCCTTCTCCTCCATTCTCCTCTCAGGATTTTGGGCATGCACGCACACTTGCCCAGCATGAGTTTTAAGCCTCCGGGTCCGCGACTTGAACCATGGATGACTATATGGGAGTTCAGTGATGTAGCCATTATACCATCTGCTAGTCCCTCTTTTATTTAACTGATGATTGTTTTTTGCCATAGGTTGTGTGTACTTTCTGGAGAGAGAGACAGAGAGACAATGAGAAACAGCCTGAGGAAAGTGAAAAATCACCCTCCTCCCACTGAGGGATGGCCACATCACAGTCCTTTCTCTATTCTTCTCTCAGGATTTTGGATATGCACTCACACGCACTTGGTATGACTTTCAAGCTACTGGGTTCGGGCCTTGAATTACGGTCAACAATGTGGGAAACAAGCACCTTAACCACCATGCCACCTGCTGCCCCCCACTATTCTTTTAAATAATAACTGGTATTAGGTAATACAAAAAGTAATTTTACATATCTAGCCATATCTCTCTCTCTCTCAAGTTTATGGGTTTATTCTAAGAGAGAGACAGAGAGACAGCACTCCCAACAGTCCTGATGTCACAGCTCACTCCCAACATCAGCCAGCCCCCATTCATGGGCATGTGTGTGCCTGGCCTACACAGGGAGGTCCCTGGACATGAACGCAGAACCTTCCCATGCGGGTCAGTCTTGCAGTGTTACATTTTACTGCCGCACGCTGTCTGGCTCCTACCTAACCTTTTTGAATAAAAGACTTACCTGGACTAATAAGTGGCCCAAGTTAGGCAAACATGTACCGCATTCCTTGGTGTTCTCATTTATTTCCTTTATCAAATTCACCAATACTTCCACAGCACCTTTGTTCATCATTTCGTTAAGAAATCCTGGGTTTCCAGAAATAAATTTTATGGTCCCCATACAATATAAAAAGGCTTCTGTATTAGTTTGTAGGTCTTCACTTCTCAGAACCTCCAATAATGATTCTGTCAAAGAGATGGATTATTAAAAATTTATGAGTGTAACAGCTAGAGAGAAATTTATTAAAACACTTCTACATGAACATCAAACACAGTTTGTAAAATATGTTCATCAAAAACTACATTCAAATCCTTGATAAGTGCTACTCATGTAGCATTAAGAGAAAAGCTTACTTTTGTTTGTGTGTTTAGGTTTTTGCCATAGGGCACATGCACTTGCCAGAGAAAAGACAGAGACAGGGAGAGATGGAAAGAGGAAAAGTGAGAAATCGCTAACCCAGGGGAGATGGCCATGCTGCAATCCCTTTTTCCCAATTCTCCTCTTGGAATTTTGAGCATGCCTGGTGTGATTTTCAAGGTGCTGGGTCTAGGACTCAAACTGATCAGCTGCGTGGGAGTCCAGTGCCTTAACCACCACACCACCTGCTGACCCTGAGAGAAGCTTACTTTTAACTAACGTAAGTCTCTATAACAGAAAAGTAAGTGATTATTAATATATAAATAAGAAAGTATTCTTTCAATCAAATACCATTCTTATTCTTTTATTAATATTTATCAGCCTTAATTTTATTTTATTTGAGTTGTCAGAAAGCATGCACACTCACCAGAGAGAGACAGAGAAACAGAGGGAATAAAAGGGAGAAGCACCCCCAGTGGAGCACATCATACCACAATACCCTCTCCTCATTTCTCCATCCTGTCAGGGTTTGGGGCACTAATACACATGCATCCATCAGGCTTTATGTTTAGTTACAAAAATTTTGAGTTATTATAGAATATTAATAATTAAAATAATTTAGGAGTTAAATATAGGGTCAGCTGGTGGTACAGGTGGTTAAGGAGGGTGGATCCCACATGGCCCACTAAGCGGTTCAAGTCCTGGAACCAGTGGCTTGAAAAACACACCATGCAAATGTGTGCACAAGCCCCAAATCCTGAGAGAGAATGGAGAAGAAGGAATTGCAGTGTAGGCAGCCCCCTGGGGCTGATTTCTCACTTTCTCTCTGTCTCTGGTAAGAGCAATGCCCTATAGCAAAAACTAAAATAAATAAATAATCATTAATCTTTTTAAAAGAGAACTATAATACAGTGATATATGTGACTTTGTAAAATGCTCCCAGCTTTGTTTGTTTGTTTCAAAGGCAGACTCTCCTCCCAGACTCCAAAGGATACTGAAAGTAAAAAACACAGAGGAGGACGGAGCAAAACTAAGCAGCACACAAAATCCACATGTTACTAGAAAGTAAAATATTGGATTGTCACAAAAGTTATGATATTTTTTTTTCTTTTTAAGAGAGATTTATGCTATGTGATGTGAGCATTCACCAGAGAGACAGAAAGTGAGAAATTATCCCCCAGGGGTATGGCCACACTGCAATCCTCTCTCCTCCATTCTCCTCCTTGGGCACAGCCCCAGCATGCTTTTGAAGCCACTGGGTCCGGGTCTCGAACTGTGGTCAACTATGTGGGAGTCCAATGATGTAACCATTATGGCATCTACTGGTCCCCATGATGTATTTTTCTATGCAAAAACGTGTCATGACTTTCCCAACAACCCAATATTTCTGCTATCATTCACTATTATTTTTCTCTCCATACTTTTTATTCGAACACAAGTAAAACGTTTTGTCAGTGATAATACTAAATGAAACTCACCCAGAATGTTGTCATTTTGGATCAGAGAATCGTTCTTCTCATTCTTTTTAAATATAAGTTTGCAGACATTAAGAAGATTCTTTCTCCTCTCTCTAAGCTGCAGATAAAAATAGAAAATCATACATTTCTATTGCCAATAAAACGCCCTACAAAATACAAACATCAACGGTATTTTTAAAATATAGTAAATATTTTAAAACATAAAGAAAGATTAAAAAGAAATCAACTTGGAAAGGTTCAGGCTACATATTTGCCAAGTACAGTATCTAATTTACAGTAAATGCAATATAAATGATCTTTAGAGTAAGAACGTTTTAATGACAGCATTTATTTCTTCATAAAGTCTTATATTTAATAACTTGAGATTATTAGTTTTAAGATAGTATACGAGGAAGAAAGGAAGGCAGGAGAGTAGTAAATTCAATTAAATGGAGTAATTGCTTTAAAACATAAAAGTAGAGGAGGATGGGTACCAACATTTCAGATTAAATGAATTTAGAAAAAAATACATAGTGGAAGTGAGGGAAAGACAAGAAAAAGGAAAAAGATGATCCTCTTTATCAGCAGTATGGAAAAATGAACAAGTAGTGTTGTTTGCTTAGATAATACATGTATGTCTATTTTTAAGGCTACTTCTGGAATGCTGTGGATAATCACAAGTTCAAGGTTTAACATTAGCTTTTAAGTCATCCCAAGATATCTAAGTAAATTAAGTATAGCGGCAATAAGGAAATGTACTTTTAAAAAAATGAAAACACAGTACACCTAACTGAATTGAACAGTCTAAATCAGTGTGTATCCACCTAACGTAGTGAAAAATAAAAATAAAAACCTTCCAAGGTATCCAAGATTAGGGATTAGTTTAATCAATGGTGGAATAATATTTATTTAATATTCATATTAAGCAGTCACAAAAAATTAAAACTACAAATACCATGTTTAAAAAGCAAAACATGATCTCTTAGATAGAAATAGTTTGTGTTCTCGTTGCAACAGTGTAAAAATATGTTTAGCGAAATGAGGTCATCTGGATAGATAAATACATCTGCATGAAAAGGATAACATATGGGTCTTATTTTATTATTGAAAATGATCTCAGACATTAGCTTTAACAGTATTAATGAGTTCTCGGTCAGTTCTTTTTTTAAAAAAAATTAATAGAATTTTGTCAGACATATTTGTTAAAGATTCTTTTTCTTTGTTATTTTGTTAATTTTATTTTTTACTTCCAATCACTGTATACCATGAGAGCAGGGACTCTTCCTGGGTTTCATCTACGAGTCTTACCAAGCACCTGTTGTGTGTCAGGCACTGCGAACTGGCAGTGTTGGGTGCTGCTCACTGTGTTGTGGAGGAGACACCAGGATGGGCAGGGCCGCACCCTGCTGGGGATGGGTGCGGGCGGGGTGGGGTGGTGGGGTGGTGCTGCCTATTGAGTGTCCCTCCTGTACTGGGCCCTCTACCTATGCTGTCTCACAGCAATCCACAAATTAGGTGTTGTCATTTTCAATTTACAACTGAGGAGTGTGAACTCAGATCACAGACCCATCTTGGCATCCTGGGGAATGGGAGAGAAATGCAGATTCTCAGGCCCCCGCCTTGCCCTATTGAATCCGAATCTGCATTTTTTTAAAAGAGAGTTTTGCTATAGTGTGCACTCACTGGAGAGACAGAAAGTGAGAAATCACCCCCCAGGGGATATGGCCACACTGCAATCTCTTCTCCTCCTGAGATCTTGGGCATGCACGCACATACACCCAGCATAAGTTTTAAACCTCTGGATCTGGGACTTGAACTGCAGTCGACTACATGGGAGACCAGTGACATAACCATTACACTATCCGTAGAATCTGCACTTTAATGAGAGCCCCAGGGATTTATGTGCACATTCAAATCTGAAAAGCTCTGTTGTAGAAGCCTCAGAAACTTTAACACATGGCAGAATCGAGATCCCTTCTGTTCTCAGAGGGAGAAAAGAAATGGGAACTTCGTGTGAGAGGGTGAACGAGAGAATGAGTGCAGGAAAGTGAGCAGGAGGAGGGAGGGAGACAGAGAAACAGTTTGCTTTTAATTTTTTTTTTTGAGAGAGAGATTTTTTACTATGGGGTGCATGCACTCGCCAGAGAGAGAGACAAATAGAGAGACAGAAAGTGAGAAATCGCCCCTTGGGAGGATGGCCACACAGCAGTCCTTTCTCCTCCATTCTCCTCTTGGGATTTTTGGGCAAGCATGCACATACACCTGATGTGAGTTTTAAGTTGTTGGGTCTAGAACTCAAACTGTGGTTGACTACGTGGGAGTCACTGAGCCATCTGCTGGTGCCGAAATAGGGATTTTGATAAGGTCTCACCACTATGATCCTCTGCCCCAGCGTTCCAGTTAGCCTGGATGACAGATGCACACGACTCTGGCATATGACATGCTTAGGTTGGACTGGCACCCAAACCCAGGTCTTCCATGTGACCCCAGCCTTGTGTAGCAGCTCCTTCTACATATAGAACATTACTAATACTGGGGAATATGTTTTTATCAGTGATTATCTCTCGCCAGGTTGTGGTGAAACCATGATTTACTGCTCTCTCATGTGTGGTATGGAGCATGTTTTCAATACTTCATGAAACTTGTTGAACAACTGAATGGATACAATCCACCTCACTGACTGCTCCCTCCAATCAAGTCTTATTATGTGAAAAGTGACACAGAAAAAAAAAAAAAAACAACAAAAACTGGTATCAGAGTTTTCATTTAAAAAGTTGGCTGGGGTGGGAGGAGGATTAAAAAAAGGAATTAAAAAAGGTACCCACAATTTCCAGGCCTGCTATAAAGTCAGTTTATACTAAAAGCAAATTCCTACAGCTTCTCTATTTATAACTATAAAGTTAAAAATTTAAGAAATGAAAAAAATAATAAAATACTAAATTATATTCAAAGACTGTAGTCTACTGCATATAAAAAAGGACAGCCCCAGGCCAGCAGGTGGCATGGAAGTTAAGGCGCTGAACTCACACATGGTCAGCCACGGATTGGATCCCAGACCTAGTAGCTTGAAACTCACGTCGGGCATATGTGTGTATGTCCAAAATCCCAAGAGGAGAGTGGAGAAGAAGGGATTGTGGCATGGCCATCTGCCCTGGGGGGTGATTTCTCACTTTCTCTCTCTGTCTCTCTGACAAGCACATGCATCCTATAGCAAAAATCTCTCTAAAACAAAACAAAACAAAACAAAAGGACAGTCCCCCATCACTCTCCATTCCCTCTACTCTGCTTAATTTTCTTCCCCCAGGGCTCACTGTCTCCTTCGGCTCTTGACGTCTGTGTTGACTATCTGCCCTGCTACCCTGCCAGCCCGGGAAAGCAGGGGCTATTTTGTTCACTTATATTCTCAATTGCAAGAAGAGACCCTGGCACAGAGCAGGTACTGGTGGCATGGCAGTTTTCTTGCTATGTTAAAAATAGTAGTTTAGCCAGGGCACAGTGGTCCAGGCCTGTGATCCTGGGGCAGGAGGATTATCAGCCTGGGCAACACAGTGAGATCCTGTCTCACAGACACAAAAAAGAGTAGTTGACTTTATTTAAAGCAAATTTGGCAAATTAAAGACTAATAAGAGAATTTTAAAGATCACTCATAAGAGGGGCCAGCAGGTGGCATGGTGGTTAAGGGCGCTAGACTCCCATATGGCCGACTGGTTCGAGCCCTGGACCTGGCAGCTTGCTTTCTCACTTTCTCTCTCTTTCTCTCTCTCTTCTTGCTCTGTCACTCTCTGGTCAAATTAAAAAAAAAAAAAAGTAAATAAATAAATAAAGTTAAATAAAATAATTCTTTTCTTAAAAAATCACTCATAATACTAACCCTGCGTAAGATTGTTGTTGACGTACGGGGACCAGCAGGTGACGTGGTGATTAAGGTGCTGGACATTCCCACATGGCCGACCACGGTTCAAGTACTGGACCTGGTGGCTTGCTTTCTCATTTTCCTCTCTCTCTCTCTCTGTCTCTCTCTGGTCAAATTAAAACAAAGGAATGAATGAATGAGTAAATAAATAAATCTAAAAAATTATTATTAAAAAAAAGATTGCTGTTAACATATTGGTATTTCGTTTTCTTCTCTGTGCATAGGGAGCTAGATTATTTTCCCCTCCAGAATCTAGCTGCATTCACATGTATATGTTTGTAACCTTCTAAAAAAATCTTAATATAGACTGATATATTTTTGCAAGAATTTTTGACACAAAGGTTAAAGTAACAGTGGCTATTTAGCTGGACACAGGGGCACATGACGATAATCCCAGCTATTTGGGAGGCTAAGGTAGGAGGATCGCAAGTTTGAGGCCAGTCCGGGCAATACAGCGAGATCCTACCTCTAACAATAAACCAACAAACAAATAAAAATGACTGTCCTGCGAACTTCTGTGTAATAGAAGAACGCAAGAGATCAAACCAGTTAACATCCTCACTGAATGTTTTTAAATATAAACAATTTTAAATACCTGAATTATAGTATTCAACTGATAAATAAAATATATATTGGCAGAAAGGAGAAAAGTTGTTTTAAAAAAACTTACTAGTTCCTCTCTCTGTCAAATGAAAAATAAATAAATGAATGAATAAAATTTAATAAATAATTTTTTAAAAAGAGGGGGGGACCAGCAGGTGGCGTGGTGGTTAAGGCACTGGGTACTCCCACATGGTTGACCAGGGTTCTAGTCCTGGGAGTCCCAAACTTGGTGGCTTGCTTTTTCACTTCCCCTCTCTCTCTGTCAAATTAAAAATAAATAAATAAATGAGTGAACAGAATTTAATAAATACTTTTTTAAAAACTTATTAGTTCCACATATCTTTAGTTTTTGCTGATTTTTCTTCCTCAGCCGTTCTTATGATGTAATCTTTAAAAAATGTACATAGAACCCTATCACGTAGGTGTAAGCTACACAGTTTCTTGCCTGAGATGTTATAGGAGATTCAGCAGGCAGATGAGAATTGGAGCTTGATGGCTTTAAAGGTCCCTCCCAACCTTGTGGTTCTGTAGCAGGTCAGAAGACACAATCTAGCCAACATTGCACTCTGGAGTTTAGCCTAGAGAGTCTCGCTCTGATTCAGCAAGGCAATTTCACAGAGAGGTTTTCAGTTCAGAATGTACTTACTACCTGGCAGTTCACTTAGCCTTTTACCATAAAACAATTAAATTGTGCAATATATATACAACTAATTTGAATAATATCATTGATAACCAAGATAATATTTTCTCTGCAAAGCATGAACAAATGTGTGGCCTGCCTTCTTTCATACCTTCCCTCTTTCCTTCCTTCCTTCCCTATGGCATGGAACAAAGTGTCTAGATCCAGATGGAGAAGAAAAGACAATCAGTCCTTGGGTGGCTGGCAGCCTGGGTTCTGCCCAGGGCAGCTACACCACATCAGAGCCCAGGAATGAAATACAGTAAAAGCACTATTTCAAAAAAAAAAAAGTACTACTTTCTGAGTCACATATTACATTTTTTAAAAAGACAGTGGCAGCTAAATAAAAATATAGCATCCCCACCCCAATTACATAGAATATATAGTCAGAATATCCTGTCTTATGAAAGACTTCATTATTAAAATAAGAAGTGGTGGAAGCTCTTACTGAACTATTAGGGAGGATGCCAACACTTACCTCCACTGTGTACTTTAAGATTTTAAATGACATGAATTACAGGGTGTTAAAATAGAGCTTTTACTTTTATGAAACCAGGTAAACAGAGTTTCATTCATTTGTTTTAGCGGCTCTCTTAGAACATTCTATAATAAATGTAGCTTATCTTCTGGTTCCAACTGTTGGTGGCTGTGACAACAAAGTGCTCACCTCAAACAATGATATCATTTTGTCTCAGATAGAGTTTCTACAGACTTTTATCTGGTGTCTGACCTTTCCTTCTAACACCTTCTGGGAGTTCTGTGACCACTGGCTCCTCATGGTGACCACATGCAGCCGTTTTTCTCTTTCATATGGTTCATAAAACACCTGGCCATTGTGCTGCTGGCCCCAATTAGTTAAAGTTACTTATTAAATCATACGACAAAATCGAGCTCCAGCAGAAACCAGAAGGTAGAAACCACAGCCTGCACTGTCTGATAATAATCTCTAGCTAAGTTACTTGAGCAACTGTTTGGAATGTATTTGACTATCGTTATTTTTTTTCTTTTCCTTTACCCTAATCACAGCCCAAATTTAAGAGGCTTTTTGTTTGGGTGTCCCCCCCCCTTTTTTTTTTTTTGCATGCTTCCTCCGTTTCAGACTCTTTATAGGCATCATCTTATTTTTCCCACAATCCTATGATAAAAGTACTATGTGCACCCACATTTCACAGGTGGGAAGGAAAAACAATCTCAGAAGAGTCATTCAAGTGGCCCACAGTCCTAAATGTAAGAATTTATCTGAACATTTTCTATATACTCAGCCTTTGATTCTTAGACAATATTTTCTAGTACTATCTATTCTGAGATGTCAGTTTATTACCTTATATTTTTCAAGATGCTAAGCAAACACACTGGGTTTCTAATCATCTTTGTAATGTTTACAAATGTAGCATTAAATGAAGCTTTTAGGTGCTGTAGTCTACTAGACCAAAGGAAAGACAAACTTACTGCTAGAATAATTTTTGCAAGCTTAAGGTTGAGCAAGTCTGAACCAACATCAACTAGTTTATATAGGGTCTTCAGGAGAACGCGTCTTCTCTTAAATTTATTTCCAAGCATGTTTCCTTCCTCTAAAGCGTGATGAAGTTTTGTGCAAGCAGCACAAACCGTTTCAATGTTTTCTTCTGTCAGAGCAAAGAAAGTAAAGCAACACTTACTAATTAAGTCATGTTTTCAAGTGTGTCAAACACAAACAGTATAAGTAAAAACCCTGTAATTATTTTCTTGGACATCTTCAAATTCGTGAACTGTATTTTATCCTTTCCCTTCTCTTATCACTGCCATCAACCTGATTTTTTTTTTTTTCATCTCTTTGATCCATCTCCTACTGTGCTGACTTACTCACTAACCAGCCAGTGGACTTATCTAGAATCTAGTCTTGCAAAGAGTGTACTAAAGAATGGACTTGCCAGCTACTTCCGTGGGCCCTCCTTTTTATCCCAGATGCCCTCCGCCTCCACCTGCGTTCCACCGCTAGTGTCTCCACCTGCAGTTCTTCTCAGCAGAGTTATGCTGGCCTAGAATGTTTTCCTTAACCTGGGATGCTTCTGATTTTGGTCCTGTGAGACGTTATGTTCTAGCTCCTCCCTGAGAGATGCACTAGCCCACACTTAGCAAACCTAGTACTGATCATTTATTTTTTACATATAAATGTGTGTGTTGTGTTACATGCCCGGTGCCCTCAAAGAGACATCATGCTCAGTGAGTAGAAACCATGTCTTCATGGAGCATTCCATATTTTTAAAACAGTAAAAGTCTGTTTAATTGACCAAAAAAATGAGAATCTATTTGCTAATGAAAATGTATATAGTAATATCTTTGTCTTGACTGATATGCATGGTATTTGTGGCGGAAAAAGAAATGTTGTACACTGTAAAGATATATATATATATATATATGATTAAATGGAAATAAATAAATAATAATTTTTTTTCTAGAAAATAAACCATGTCTTCATATCTTGGCATCCATAGCACATAGAACAGTGAGAATAGTGTACTATCTATATCACAATCTCCTACGTATTCATTTCCAACTATATTTGTTGATGAAAATATGTTCAATATTTTTACATGAGACCAATGCTTGCCATCTGTGAGAAGACGGCTATAACACAACACAGCTCAAGCAAGGTGTCAGCAAATACACTACCATTTGGAGGTGGCTATTAGAAAAGAGAATAAGAAGAATTTTGTTAGAAAGCAAGAAACTGAGAACATTTGGTTTTATGAATCTGTGTAAGGTCATTTTTGAAAGTGGAGCCCTACCAATCGGCACTCCAGGAAGAGCAGTAGCACCCCAAAGAATCCAAGGTGTAAGGTACTCTGTTGAACATTATCTCTGATAGATTCCATCACAAAATTAAAAAGTAGGAAACCAATCTTAAATAAATACCATAATGTGCTCTTAGAAGCCCACAGAGAGGAAGTGTGTGCCTGCAGAAGGAAATGACTCAGGCCATTTTTAGCTCTTTTCAACAATAATATCTAAGAAAAAATTTTAAACCTCAATAGCCAAATAACCTTTAATGCCTTTCAGTTATGCACTTAAATAAATGAACTGATGGGAAATGACTTAGACTAACTCTAAATAAAGTGGAAGACCTGCATTCTATTGTATGCGCCACTTTTGTTTTTTTTGTTTTATTCTTCTGTGACGGGCAGTCTCCTTATAAACCCACGTCCAGGCCCCGGGCCACTCCTTGGCAGTGGGTGCTCCTCAAGGTATTTTTCTAACACTTCCCTTCACAGACTCTTCAGCCTGATGAGTTCTACTCCACAGTAGTTGTCTTAGCTTAATAAAAAGGAAGATTCAAGGGTGAAATCTTAAACTACTGATCAAATTAACCGATTACATGCCAATTTGTTTGCTATAAATGCTATATAGCTTCAAAAGACAATCTGAATTGAAGAGCTATCAAAATTCTTCAGGGGTGGGACCAGCAGTTAGCGTAATGGCTATGTCGCTGGACTCCCATGTAGCTGACCGCGGTTCAAGTCCCAGACCCAATGGCTTAAACTAATGCCGGCACGTGTGTGTGTGCCCAAGATCCCGAGAGGAGAATGGAGGAGAAGGGATTGCGGCGTGGCCATCCCCCCTGGAGGGTAATTTCTCGCTTTCTGTCTCTCTGTCTCTCTCTGTCTGTCTGGCGAGCGCACGTGCCCTATAGCAAAAACCTCTAAAAAAAAAAAAAAAGATTCTTCAGGGGCTAACTCTAGTGCATAAAAGTCTGAAGTAGTAGAGAGTAATATAATCTCAAAGTGACTTCTTCCCTCAAGATATTTATTAATTACAAAAAGAAAAACAGCAGCTTTCCAGTGGAAGACCTGGCAGACACTGCCTTATGGAGCGGATCAAAGTTGGCACCACCAGCAATGGAACGGATCAGCATCATGAGCCTCTTGACCGAGACACTGAGAAGGACGCAGCATCAGCGAGGTAATATGCGTGCACCAGATGCCCAGCGTGGATCTCATCAAGAGAAAACACAGCAGACAGATCCAGCGTGCGGGGCAACCTGGAGATAGATGGCCTGTGCTCCTCAAATACATCAAGATCATGAAAGAGAGGTGATGAATAACTGGAATTTGTAATGCAGGGTTTTCTCTTTCTATAAAAGGGACTACGGTGACAACTGGCAAGATATGAGTAAAATCTGTACAGTATTGTATGGTAATTTCCAGATACGTAAGAGCATGCTTTTGTTTCTAAAAATACATGGAAGGATATGGAACATCGTGTTGGCAACTTATTCTCAAAAGGCTCAAAAAGGAAAAAAAGTGTGTGTGTGTGTGTGTGTGTGTGTAGGCAGGGATAGCAAAAGAAGGAGGGAGGGAGACAAAAAAGGAGGGCCAGAGTGCAAAGCTAAAGTGGTAAAATATTAACATTGGGAAATCTAGGTGAGGAGAACAAGGGATTTTTTCTTGGTATTACTCTCACACCTTTTCTATAAGTCTGACATTATAACAAAAGAAAAAGGTTGTTTTTATTTTTAAGAGAGAGCTTTTTGCTATAGGGTGCTTGTGCTCGCCAGAGAGACAGAGAGATAGAAAGTGAGAAATCACCCTCCGGGGGGATGGTCACACTGCAATCCCTTCTCCTCCATTCTCCTCTCAAGATTTTGGGCATGCATGTACACACACTCAGCATGAATTTCAAGCCACCAGGTCGGAGACTTGAACTACAGTGGACTATTTGGGAGTCCAGTGACATAACCATTACACCATCTGCTGGCCCCAGTTTTTGGCTTTTGTTTTTTTTGAAAAGGAAAACAATATAGAATTACAAGGGTGTCAAGTAACAGCATGGTCATCATTTCCTGTTCTTAGGTTTTCTGGGGAGACTACACTCCTGTCTTTAGTAATCCTTCTGAGAAGAAAGATGCATCCACATTTTTTTAAAGAATTATTTATTATTATTATTAGTAGTAGTATTTGAAATTTGCTACATGACATGTGTGCTCACTAGAGAGAGAGAGAAAAAGTGAGAGAGCAAGTCATCAGGTCTGGGACTCGAACTGCAGTCAGCCACATGAGAGTCCAGCACCTTAGACACCATGCGGCCTGCTGGCCTGCATCTGCATTTTAAATACAAATTGTTCTGTTGGTGTCATGGTGAGCAGAGCCCTCAATGTCCTTCTAAAATCCTCGGGCTAAAGACCTCCTCCAAGATAGGCCTCCGCAATTCTGACTTTCTCCCTGTTGAATGTTCTTTTTAATCCTTACACAGACTCATTTTTCTCACTAGTTTTACACATCTCCTAAAACAGGGGTCCAAAGCTGACTTGGCACACTAATATGAGAGTGAAAATGGACAACTCTAAAGGGGAGAAAGCCATCGAGGTCCATGTGCTTAGGATTTTGAGCTGTAGAGGACTTCGGAGATCGACTTGTCTCATTCACTTCCATGTCTGGCAGGTGAGGACAATACTGTGCACAGATTAGGAGACTCCCCACAGCCACATGCTTAGGTAGCAGCAGCACCAGCCCCTGAAACCCTGTCCAGGGCTCCCCTATTAACCATAATACAGTCAAACGCCAGCAGGCTGCTGAGGACGGGCAAGGTCATCTGAACCCCTCAGGGCGAAGGTCTTTTGCAAGTCTTCCCTGTCTGGTTGCTGGGCAGGACTCATTTATCTTGTCTCTCTTAGAGCATCTTCCTGTGGCAACCATGCTGGTTTGCTACTTGAAGGGGTGTTTGCTCTAGCGAGAACCTACTGTGTGCTGTGCGTCAGGCATTGGGCTTAGCCCTGGAGCTATAATCACAACTCCAGAGGAGCTTATTTCAGCTTCAGAAATGGAATCCCCAATAAGCTGCAAAGATGGAGTGAGTGGGAACAGGGAGGGCCATTCCCTGAGAAGCTTCCCATGTGCCTACAGAGGCCTGTTGACTGTGGGCCTTCATTAGTGGGGCGGTCCAAAGTGCAAGAGCTGGGCACATCCCAGACTCCTCCTGTGCTGTGAGCGGCTTCCCTGACAGAGGTACCTAGCCTTAGGAGAGGAGGACACAGACACAGTGGATCAGGGAAACCTCGCACATACCCGTCAAGGACGCCAGTTCATGAGACTCAGTATCAGAGGCCTGATGTCTATTTAGAACTTCACTTTCTCAACTATGGAAAGCCACCCTTCTCAAGCAGAGAAGGTGATAATTAATTTGAATTACAAGGGGGAATTTCAGAAGTTGGTTCTCTGGGTGCATGTAAAGTACAATTTTACTCACTAAAACTTCGGTTTACGTGTAATATTTCACACACACGTTACTGGATAAATAGATGACTGCGTTTGTTTCTGACCATGTTCACAAAGTCAAAGTGTACTAAAAATAGGGCAGTAGGGAACACATAAATAACCACAGAAAATTTTGATTGCAAACAAAAACTGTGTTTTACCCTTTTCTATTTCATACAAAATCGGTAAGATCCTTGTGGTCCAAAAGACTTCATCTGCTTCTGCTTCTGTGTCCTTTTTTTCCAGGTCAGCTTTCGAGACTACAATGGAAACCCAGAGAGGGGAAAAAGAGTCATGAAAAAGAGTCTGTAACAGAAAGTAGTCAAAATTCTTTACTATTTATCAACAAAATTGAGAAACTATGGAATTAAATTACACCTTGTCTCCCAACCTGACCAATTCTAACATCTTCTAATGAAATCACCCCAAATTAAACTCAGATAAGATAATGTAAAGAAATCAGAGCTTTAAAACACAAGTGAGGTACTTCATAAAGTATGAAGCTTTGTATGAGGGAGTCTTTTGAAAGTTCCTGAAAATGCATGGATTTAAAAAAAATTTTTGCACTAAAATAAACCTGTACTTTTATTCCATTTTCCCACAAACTTTTTGGAGTTCCCTTGTAAATGTTCATGACTGTCAGTAAGGCAAGTCATTCTGAGTTAATTTTTGCTTAAACTTGTCCCTCTGTAATGGATTAGGTTTTCAGGAAAGTCATGACATATTTTTGTTTTTCTCTTTTTTTATGATTTACTTTTTATTTAACTTTACTTACATATTTACTTATTTTAATTTGGCCAGAAAGAGACAGAGACAGAGACAGAGAGAAAGTGAGAAAGCAAGTCACCAGGTCCGGGACTTGAACCACGGTCAGTCATGTGGGAGTCTAGTGCCCTTAACCACCACACTACCTGCCAGCCCCTATTTTTCTATGCAAAAATATATCAAGACTTTCCCAACAACCCAAGAGAATAGATAACTGCAGATATGTGGAGAATAAGAATTTTGAAAGTGTTTAATGAAAATTTTTTGAAAGAAAGGCCTGGAAGGACTTTCTTTTTTCTCTATAGAAAATAATTATGGGGCCAGTGGCATCAACACCAAGTGACTTCATGTGGTGCAGGAGGAAAGGCCTGGGCTACCTCATGATTGATATACTGGGTGACTGAGATCTAGTTCCTTATCCTCTCTGAGCCTCAGTTTCCTCATGAGTAAAATGGAGATTAAAATGTCTGCCTTCAAGATTATGAGAATTTAGACACGATACAGATAAAGCTCTGTGTCAGTGCCACGTATCTAATGACACACAATATATATGAATTTCAGCTCCCTGGTTAAATAAATAGGTTGTCTCAGCCTGAAGTAGAGCAGGGCAGTGCAACACACAGCCTCCCAGCAGACACTGTGAGTACAGGCGGTAGGGAGTGCTGCTCTCTGCCATCGCTTACGGACTTCGGAAGTCCGGGTGCAGCAGGCTTGTATTTAATTTAGGCAACTACACGATGGGAGGCCCCCCAGTTGTTCCCTTTGGTCGGAGAAGAAAGTGGAACCCAGGAGTATGTAGTTATCTAAGGTCATGTAGGTCCACGTCCCTTGCATTTGACCTCTATGAGCTTCTACCCCACAGCAACCTGGCAGACCACACGGAAAGACTGCAGGAAATGTAAATCATACAGAAACTGCAAATCGTGATTATGTCTCCCACAGGTGGTGTCTCATGGTCTCAGTGCTGACTTGGTAGCTGGAGTGGGGAGTGCTGTGCAGACATTTCTGAGCAATGCGAGAGACAGACTCCCCAGTTTCCCTTCAATGAAGTCCACCCCGAAAACCCTTCACTTGGCACCTAGTCTCCATCAGGTAAGGGAGTCTGTGTCCTCTTAGGGTGGACCGGATGCTAGTTTAGTATCCACACAGTGGGTGTGCTTGAACTCTACAAGTACCTCAACTAGGCAGTCGGTAGGTGGCATGGTAGTTAGGGCACTGGACTCCCAGTGGTTGATTGCAGTCTGAGTCCCAGACCTGGCAGCTTGAAAATCACACCAGGCGCCTGTGCTTGCATGCCCAAAGTCCCAGGGGAAGAAAAGATGAGAATGGATTGCAGTGTGGCCATCCGCCTGAGGGGTAACTTCTCACTTTCCTTCTCATTGTCTCTGTCTCTTTCAGGTGAGTGCACATGCCTTATGGCAAACAAACAAAAACCCTAAAAAACCCCACAAAATCACAGGTAGAAATCATATGATAAGAGCTATCTGAAGGTGATAGAGATGGAGAGAGAGAGAGAGAGAGAGTAAAAAGAGTATGTGGCATATATATTTTCAGGTGGTTTTAACTAAAAAAAAAAAAAGGATGAGTTAACCAGAGGGGCCCATTAAGAGCACAGGTTTAGAGTCACTTTCTCACTTTCTGAGTCTAAATCCCAGCTCTGCCACCTACTAGCTGGTTAACCTTGGGCAAGTTGCTTCATTTCTCCATAGAATGGCTAACAATGGCTATCTCTAAGTTTTGAGATGATGGGTTATTAATTTATTGTATGTGCTCTTCTGTAGTTACCAAATCCTCTAATGTACTTGCATTATTCTTGAGAGAAAAAAGAATACAAAGCATATTAAATGTGTGTGTGTGTGTGTATGTCTTAGTAAACAGTCACATTCGTATTTTGTTAACAGGGTTAAAATGAAATTCTCTGCAAGCAGAAATCAAATAAAGTCCCTGCTCAATTATTTGTATAAATAGCTGAGAAATCCAAGGATAGCACATAATGGAATGTATTTAAAAATGCATTTGGGGGACCAGCAGGTGGTGTGGTGGTTAAGACACTGGACACATGGCCGACCACGGTTCAAGTCCTAGACCTGGTGGCTTTTTTTCTCACTTTCTCTCTTTCTGTGTCTCTCTCTGGTCAAAATGAAATAAATGAGGGAACCAGCAGTTAGCATAATGGCTATGTCGCTGAACTCCCACGTAATCGACTGCGGTTCACGTCCCAGACTCAGTGGCTTAAAACTCACTCCGGGCGCATGTGTGTGCGTGCCCAAGATCCCGAGAGGAGAATGGAGGAGAAGGGATTGTGGCGTGACCATCCCCCCTGGGGGGTGATTTCTCGCTTTCTGTCTCTATGTCTCTCTCTGTCTGTCTGGCGAGCACACGTGCCCTATAGCAAAAACCTCTCCAAAAAAAAGAAAGAAAATCAAATAAATGAATGAATAAATTAAAAAAAAATGTATTTGAACTCAGAGATGTCAGAAACCACACAGCAGACACTTTCCAAGCACAGAGCTGACGTCCCAGGAGAGGCAGGGAAGGGTACAATTTACCTACCTCTCCCAACCCTCAGGCCTTCCCCACTGCACTGCATGCCAGAAACGGCCACTTGTAGTTGCAACAATCTAGGCTTGCCTTTTCTCAAACCTTCCTAATACAAGAGAGGCCATTACATATGAGACATCAAAGAGCACTTCAGTACCCCAGCTGCAGTGATGCGGGCGGTAGGGCACGATGCTCCAGTCATATGGAAAGGTCTGGGGTTTGGTTCCCAGGTCTCTCTCACACTTTCAAAAGTAAACAGTTCAAGTGCTATTGATAGTCTTTTATTTTTTAAGAATTATTTATTTAATTTATTTATTTAGAGAGCAAGAGAGTGAGAGAGAGAGAAAGTGAGAAAGCAAACTGCTAGGTCTGGGACTCAAACCATGGTCAGCCATGTGGGAGTCCAGCACCCTTAAGCACCATGTCACCAGCCAGCCCCATCAATAATCTTAATATTAAGGTTCCAAATAACCTATCTAACCTGTATCAAGCCTCCCCATAAAGCACAACGCTGAACTGTCTTCAGGAGAAAAATCAGTCTCCATTCCTCCATCCCCACCTCTTATCTGAAACCTTGGGGCCATGAATGGTTTGGGAATTCAGAAATGTTGGATTTTAGAAGGGCATAGGTGCTACAATGTGTTATACACCACAGCAGGAGGGCCTCTGGAGCAGTACTCTGGAGCAAAATGTGTGAATGCTCACACTGTGGAAACAGACACTGACTGGCCGCCCATGAGCCCATGCCATTAAATGAGTTCCAAAAATTTTTCAATGTCAGAGCTTTCCGGATTTCAGAACTGCAGATAAAGGGTTACAGACCACTACTTCAACATTTTGGATTAGTATGAGTCTGCCTTAACATCGATAAATTATAAATATGAATTCTAAAGGTAAATATTCAAGCAGTATTAAAAACACAGTTGCTCCGCCCAGCCAGGATAGCCACACTGGTCGTTGCTCAGCACTGAGCCACGTGGGAGGCCTGCACCTGGCCCACCCTACGAAGCTGGGCGCAGTGGCACACACCTGTAGTCTAAGCTACTCAGATCACTGTGGCAAGAGGATCAGGACACAGTGACACCCTATCTAAATAAAACAACCCCCCACCACAAAAACAACACACACATAAATATACACACACAGTTATTCTTATTCCCAAATAACTAACTTGTTCAGAGTCCAAAGTATTTGAAAAAAAAAATCAGCGTTGATCAAGGCAAATGAAAAGCTAGAACATGGTAAATCCAATAAGCAATTTAATCAACACATATTTATGACACACTTACATTTTCTAAAACATAAACTTCAAGCCCAGAAAGCTCAAATCAGCATTTTTACTTTCTGTGCACTGTGCTGTTTAATACGATAGCTCTACGAGTCACCGTGGCCATCAACCTGTTTCTTAAGAGCAAGCGAAATCAATAGCGAGTTCGCCCCAGGAAGAGCTGACTTATAGGAGGGAGCCAGAACTCACAGAACAGTTCATTTAACTCCGAGCCTTTCTGGCCGTTTCTGAGGTTGTTTCCTTCCAGAACAGAAATCAGCCAGACACTGTGGTGTAAGGGTTTCCTTCCATCCTTCTCTCGGGAATCCCTGTGTGTGCTGTGGTGTCTGACCACAGCCTCTTCACCTCTCTCCACCCACTGAGACTCCCCCGAGCTGTATTTTACACAAGACCCCTGAGCTACTCTAGAAATTGAAGTGTAGAATTATGTGATTGCTTTTAACACAGACACACACACACACACACACACACACACACACATACAAAGTTTGTCTAAGTCTTAGACAGCAGCCTAATATTTTAGAAAACATTTTCTTCTAGATTCATAGTTTGCTAAATATAAAAAATATGATTCAACAGGAAATTGGGTAAGTCAAGCAAAAAATTCAGCATATTTTTGAAGGTTTTGCTGTCTCAGTGGTTATAGTTGTTAACCACAGCTTTGAGTTCTGGACACAAAAACCTGACACAAGGTTTGGATTGGCTGATGTTTTTAGCATATAAATGTAAAACCCTTAGCAACAATACTGACTTGGAAATCAGTATATCTAAGATTTTCCTCAGTAGAATAGAAATCTTCATTGGTTACCAAAGTCAACTCATTTTAAAGATAATACTTTTTAAATCTAATATTAGTTTGGTGTTATAAAATTTCACAAAAAGAATATAACAAGCACCAATATGTCCAAAACTAGTTGGGTCAAATATTAGCACTTTGCCAAATGTTTATCCTCTCCTAACTCCCCCTCCCCCCTTTTTTAGGTTCTTGTATACTTGCTGGAGAGAGACAGAGAGAGCCAGTTAGAGGGAAACTGAGAAATTACCCCCCAGGGGATAATTCACGCTGCAATCCCATCTCCACTCTCCTCCTGTAATTTTGGGCACACATGTATACATGCCCGGTGTGATTTTCAAGCCACCAGGTCTGGGACTTGAACCATGGAAGGTCATGTGGGAGTCCAGCACCTTAACCACCACACCACCTGCTGGCCCCAATTCTCTCCCTTATTTTAAAGAAATAAAACATGAGAGAAGTATCTCATGTTGGGTAAAGTTTTTTTTTTACAAGTGAAATGAGAAGTAGTGATTGACAGCTTAGAAACTTGGAATAATAATAATGATGATTGGGAAAAATAATGGAAAGCTATTGGATGATAAAATGGGGATTTTAATGTCTCTGTATTGACTGATATGCATGGTGTTCCTTCTGGAAAAAGAAATGTAATACACCGGAAAGTTACATGTGATTCAATGTTATATAAATAAGATTATGACGATAATAAAAAAAGATCACAGGTTAACAGCAAAAAGAAAGGAAGGAAGGAAGGAAGGAAGAAAAGAAAAGAAAAGAAAAGAAAAGAAAAGAAAAGAAAAGAAAAGAAAAGAAAAGAAAAGAAAAGAAAAGAAAAGAAAAGAAAAGAAGAAAAGATGACAGATATAGTTGAGGTCTCTGTGTGCATCCCCTCACCTATTGCCCCCCTTCCTCTAGGGGTTACCACCATTCTAAATCAGGGGGTTACTGTTAACAAGCTTGACTTTACATGTTTACTACATAGATCTGTACCCATAAACACTAGATGTCATTGTTCTTGCAACTGATGTTTTTTCTTTGGATCTAACATTATATTTGTACCCATTGCACTCAGCATTATAAATGAGTAGATTAGTTCATTTTTCTGCCATATTCCATTAATTAGGTAAATACATTAACCATTAATATAGGTAAATACAGTTTTATCTAAGTGAGCAATGGTTTTTTTTTTTTTTTTAGAAGTCAGTTGACATTTCTCTTAGTTAAAAGACCAAGGGACAGGAAGCTCCTGTGTCACAGTACATTACATATGGCTCTCGTACATAGTGAAATAGACGTCAAGGACTCAAATGTCTGTAACCAGCACCAAACTCTTGTAGCAGGCAAAGAGTGAAGCAAGATTTATTTTACTGGCATTGAGATTGTAATACATCTTTACATGCAGTATATTTTTTGGTAGACTTAAATCATTTGAAGACAGAGTACCTGCAAAGGAAACAAGTAGTAAAATATTTCTGGTAAGACCTGAATGTAGTACTTCTCACCATAAGCTATTTATTAAGACTTCAGAAAAGTCAATCCTGGTATGATTTTTAAATATGACCTAAAAATTTGCCAGTTAGCTTCTGTGTGTTCACACACAAAATAAAAGTAATGTACAGTGGGATAAAGAATATTTAAAATTGGGGACCAGCATTTAGCGTAATGGCTATGTCACTGAACTCCCAGGTAGCCAACTGCGGTTCGAGTCCTAGACCCGGTGGCTTAAACTCACACTGGGCGCGTGTGCATGACTGCCCAAAATCCCGAGAGGAGAATGAAGGAGAAAGGATTGCGGCATGGCCATCCCCCCGGGGGATGATTTCTTGCTTTCTGTCTCTCTGTCTCTCTCTGTCTTTCTGGCGAGAGCACGTACCTTATAGCAAAAACCTCTCCAAAAAAAAAAAAGAAGAATATTTAAAATTGCCTTTCTTGTTGTTTTTGGTAATTAGGCTAATGAAAGCTAATTTGGAGGGTGGGAAATTCTTTGAGTGAGCAATGATTTTGAACTCAAGTTTTGAACCCCAAAACTACATTGATATCAAGCTTTCCAACTTTCCAAATGATTTTATAAAATTTCTGGAAAATCATTAAGTCTGTAATCTAGTAGCTGTTTGAGGCATTACAGCTCAGCAACCGTGAGAATGATAACTGTTGTGAAAAGAATGGAAACTTATGATGATAAATGTTGATCTGTGGCCAGGTTGGATAAAGTTTCTGAGTTTTCAAACATCTTCAGGGCAAACGCTTTTCCTCCAAATGAAGACTCTGCAAGTGAAGGGCTGTGAGGACTCTGGAGAACGCAAGTGCCTCACCTGTTTTGGTTTGCGGTCTGCTGAGGTCTGAGCTGGTGGGGCAGGATGAGGCCCTTGCACGCCTCTTCCCCTGGTCCCTAGAAGGAAGAGGAATACACTAATCACTTGACACCAACAGCAAAGCGTTTTTCTTTTGCAAATGTCAAGGGTCTGTAATATACCGGTTATGAAGTAGCCACAGAGAATTGCTGATAGGATGGGTTTGGGGCTCTATGCCCTGTTTTAATCTACCTTTAATTTCCACTAAGATTTACCACTGAAATACAAGTCATATTTGCTGAACAATCTGAAATATACGTACTAGAAAGAATGACGATAACAAAAACAATCCAAACTTTACTTTGCACAAAAAATAGAAGAACTGAAGATGTACACCACAAGAGGTCACTGTTACAATAAGAAAGAACCCTGGTACACTTCAACCACCAAGGCCTCACCTCCGGGAGCTGGGAGAGCTCCCATTCTTTCCATGGATAAGAAAGTGGCCCAACTGGCCAGATGTGCTTAAGGCCCCATGGCAGGCAGATCTGGAACTCAGGTTTCATCATTTGAAAAGTCACACATTTAAAAAATTAATATTAATATTTTCTGGAAACATTTCATTCTAACAAATATTTTCAATGTTTAAAAATTGAAGGTCAATTCGGGCAGTCTTCAGATAACAGATATTTTATATTCTGAAGCAAAGAGTCGGGGGGGCGACCAACAGCAGGATTATAGTCTCAGGTTTTTATTTTAAAATAGAGACCATGTCTAAAGAGTACAACTTCTCTTCAACTAATACGTAAAAATACTTACTTTTAAATAGCTGTAAAAAAATTTCAAGATTAAAAAAACACTGAGAACAAGAGTATAAGTTTTACAACGTATTTCTGTCCATAAAATATATGTCCCAAAATCATGAAGAATGCATGTGCATGTGGCATGGTCCCATGAACGTACATACATATGTCCACTGCCCCTATTTCCTGCATAGTGAGATCCCCAGTGGAGGTTCAGCAAGCTGTCTTGTGGCTCTGAGCCTTTATTGCTGAGTGAAGATTAGATCCTCCTTTTCTTCCATACACACGTCCCTTTTAAAATACTTGATTTAACACTTTTTATTATAAAATAATAAATAAAAGAAAGTAATTTAAAAAAAAAGTCTCAGGACCAGCAGTTGGCATAATGGCTGTGTCGCTGGACTCTCATGTAGTTGACCACGGTTCGAGTCCTGGACCCAGTGGCTTAAACTCATGCTGGGCACATGTGCATGCGTGCCCAAGATCCCAAGAGGAGAATGGAGGGGAAGGGATTGCAGCATGGCCATCCCCCCTGGGGGGGATATGGATTTTTCACTTTCTGTCTGTATCTCTCTGTCTTTCTAGAGAGCGCATGCACCCTATAGCAAAAACCTCTCCAAAAAGAAAAAAAAAAAAAGTCTAATTAATACTCAGAAGTAATTTGCTTTATGTTTACACACAATAAAAAAAACATATATCTCCTAACACGATACCCTACCCCAAACCAATCAAAAAAGAACATAGGGAGAGGATCATCTCAGATGAGGCAGAAATAAAGGGAATCAACCCTCTGAAGAGGTAAAATACTAGAAGTCACACAGGGTGTGAGGCCACAGAAGTTCCCATATTCATTGCTCCTAGAGATTAAGAGAGTTTGAGAGCAATAGAGGCTGTCTTACTTTCAATATAAACAACTGTTCTAAGCAACTAATGCTATAGAGCAAGATGGTTTTCAACTAAGGACCTTCCAGAGTCATTGGCCTACTGCCCTTGAAGTCATGGCACTGATGAAGCTGCCTCCATAAATAATAGTACATTTGTGTATCACCACTAGGAGAAGAGAAAAGGGGGCGGGGGGGGGGAGAAGTGTTCTTACTATTCAGTATATAACAAAGATTGGCAGAGCTTGGTCCTACCAGTTCTCAGGAAGATCACAGGATTGGGATTAACTACTGCTCTACATGATCATCAGGGTGTGGTTGAGCATGCAGGCTCCTGGACCTAAACTGCTTGGGTTCAAATCCTGAGTCTCACTTTCGTGAGCTTTGTGACCTTAGGCAAGTTACTTGGCTTTGGTTTCCTTATCTTAAAACAGGACAAAGCCTCTACTGAGTACAGTGATAAGCACACTGGAAGAACTTCATACATTGTCAATATTCTTCTTCTCTTTCTAAGCCAGCAAGCATCTATCTGAGCAATCCAGAGCTGAATGTTTTTCAATTAGCAATAATTGCGCCTCGGATAAACCTCATTGGCTACGATACTGCCACTGCGCAAAGCTAGAGCTGAATGTTTTTGAGATAAAGATCACATAACGAGTTGCTCTGGTGAAACTTCGAGGAGCTAAGAAACTGCCTTTTTTTTTTTTTTTAAGTAGAAAAGTATTAGTAGAATTTCTCAATGCTTGAATGTGAACCTCAGCAAGTAATAAGAACTAGAGGAATGCTGAGAAGGAAACGCTCAGTGAGTAGAGAACCAGACCACAAGGCAGGCCTAGAAAAATAAAGCTGAACTAGCAAATGGCACACTACTCCCAGAAGGGAAGAAGCATGATGAAGGTAAAGAGAGGCATGAAAAGCCTGATTATTTGGGCCCAGAGACAATTACACAGGGCCACCACCATAAGTAATAGGAGGTTTGTTGGAGGGAGCACTGGAAACAGCTGTGTGAAACTCTGGATTGAGTAAATGGATCCTTTGATGGGCAATAAGGTTCTTATACAAGGAACTGATGGAATGTGGAGTTATACAATGACAAGAGTATTAGGAGATACGGAGAGAAATATCAAGGACTAATCTTTCGAGGGTCACAGTGGCACTGGAAAAGAAGGAAAAAATTCAATAGATCCTTTAAACAAAAAGTTGATTGGATTGGGTGGTTGATTCCAAATCAACAGGAGAAAGAAGAGAATGTAGATCTTCAGGACTAGAACAGCAGCATTGCCATCAACAGAAACAGAGAGGTTAAGGAGAACTGTCTGAGGGGAAAGCTAGTCTGGTCTTGCCATATTGAGTTTCGGGTGAAAAACGGAACACCTGCAAAGGAGATGTGGAAATCAGAAAAAGGGCTCCTTTCAACATCAAAGTGATCCACAGGGCCCAAAGTCCTCAGATTAGTGCCTCAAAGACAGGAGATTTGGGACAAGGCCTTGTCAGACATTTACCGGTTAAAGCATAGGAAAAGTAGTCCAAAGGAAGGAGAGAAACAACATGCCATCATGCTGTCCAAGCACACTGAGAGAGAAGTCACGATTAACAAGTCACAGAAAATGAAGGCTGAGGAAGAACCATCCAGTCTGGCCATGGTAAGCTTACCAGGGTTTTCGCGGAGCAGTGCAGCCAAGGTCCCACACCAACAGTGGATGGGCAAGACGGGCAAGAAAAAGAGCATCTCTTCAGTACAGAGGAAGATTAGATGGCCTACGTATTCACAGAAATCCGTCTCCCTGCAGCTTCTACTCACTCATGGGTCTTGGTTCTACTCACTGGAACCACATGAAACACATTTTTATGCTTCCTCCCCTTGACAACACTTCACTTATTTAAAGATAGTACGTTCACCATGTGAAGTCATCATTGACCGTTTAACCCCGCAGCTCTACCAGTTGTGACCTCTGCTAAGCTTTTTGACCTAGGCTTTGGTTTCCTCATCTGTATATGAGAAAGTGCTAAATAATCATTCCCAGTAGGTGTTGTGGAGGTTAAGGTGCTGGAACCCACATGGTTCAAGTCTTGGACCGACCCAGCAGCTTAAGAATCATGCCAGGGGTATGTGCATGCATGCCCAAAATCCCAAGAGGAGAATAAAGGAGAAGGGATGGTGGTATGGTCAGCCTCCCCGGGGGGCGATTTCTTACTTTCCCTCTCTTTTCTCTCCAGCAAGTGCACATGCCCAATGGCAGAAATCTAAAAAACAATAATAATAAAAATAGTACTCACCAACATAAAACTGTTATGAAGATGGAGTGATACTGTGTGTAATTGCTTAGGCCCCATCCTGAGTATTCAGTAAATGTTCACTGTTACTGCTATTGTCATCACTGATGCCATTAACAAACTCGTCCAGTCCCTTCCATGGGTCCTCAGATAACACAGTTTCAAATCTCTGCCAGCCTATCCAGTTACTCTGAGGGACTGTCAGTTTGTCTGGATCCCTTTTAAAGTCCAGACCAGCAGTGAGCTAAATGTACGGCCTGAGGAGCAATCGAGGGATGTCCTGAATAATGAAGTCTAAAATGACGTTAGTAGTTTCGGCAGCCACCTCACAGTGCTGGTTAGTCTTAGCTTTTCTTATGTGTGCGGCTAAGGCAGATTTTCTCTATCCACATTGGACCTTTACTCATTCTTATTAAATTTCACAGTGTTGTACTTGGCAAAGAGCTCCTGCCTATCAGATGTTTTTAGATCTTGATTCAGTCATCCAGTATAATTGTTCTCCTCAGCTTCCTGTTTCATGTTATTAAAGACCATAATTGAATTTTTACAATGATTTTGATGCACAAAAAATAAAACAATTCCAAAAATTATTCCTTAAAGATCTTCTGTGAAATTCTTCTTAGAGGCAGAATGATACCGTTTTATTTGCTAGCACATCTTAACTTACCAAAAACAAGAACAAAACCCAGGGAACCAGCAGTTAGCGTAATGGCTATGTCGCTGGATTCCCACGTAGTCGACTGTGGTTTGTGTCCCGGACCCGGTGGCTTAAAACTCATGCCGGGCACGTGTACGTGCATGCCCAAGATCCCGAGAGGAAAATGGAGGAGAAGGGATTGCGGCGTGACCATCCCCCCTGAGGGGTGATTTCTCGCTTTCTGTCTCTATGTCTCTCTCTGTCTGGTGAGCGCACGCGCCCTACAGTGAAAATCTCTCAAAAAAAAAAAAAAAAAAAAAAAAAAAAAAGAACAAAACCCAAACAAACTTCACGTAGTAGACTTAAAGAATAAATAGAATTTACTAGCTCGTATAACCCTGAAGTGGATAGGTAGGGTGAGATGTAGGCGTGGTGTGATCAGGGCATCTTTCTGCCATTTTCTCAACTCTGTTCTTCCCTCAGATCCATGTGTAATCAGGTCC